TATATTTAGGTTAAGACACAAAACTTAAGTTTTTATAAACTGTTGCATTTAGAACTTAAATTTGTACTTAAATTTATGTTTTTTATATATCTGTGGGATAAATTTCAGGAAGTAGAGTTGCTGGATCAAAGGGATGTTCATTCAGATAGTTTTGCCAATTGCTTTCTAAAAAAAGTGAGCAAATTTATTCTCTCCCAATAATGTTTCAGAGTGAACTGACCAGTACTTAATGTTAGATTTCAGAAGTCCTCACATTGCTCCATATATATAAAACATACAGATGTATGTGTGTTTATGTATATGTGTATATATGTATACATGTGTGTATGTATACGTATATGTGCATATATGTGTGTGTGTAGTAGTTTGAATAGAAGCTGTTTTGTGTTTTCCAGCTAGATAATACAGAATGTAAAATTTATGGACTTTTAATACCTCTTATACTAACAGAAAACTGACAGACTTTAGCTTAACATAAAGCTGAATGAAATGCTTAAAAAAATCAAAATAATACAATGGTTACCCAAAGTCTTTCAGAATATATGAATGCTGATAGTTTAAAATTGGACATTAAATTAAATTAGACAGTATTTGTGTTACTGCCTTACAGTGACACCTGGAAGGAACACAGGACTGTTTCTATAAGCAATTTTACCTTGTTTGCTGACTTCCGTTTCTTCTCTCTTGTTCAAGGATATTTCTCTAGGTTCAGTGTTCCCTTTTACTCCTGTTATGCTTTTTCTCATGTATACTTATGCAGATGAGTCCTATAATTTCCAGAAGACATTGAAATGGACTGGATTACCTGTCATGATGCTTACTAGTGTGGTGATTTGGTGATTAAATGAATCTGTGAAAACTGCATGTGTGTAGATGGTGTCAGTTTTGTGAACTTTGCTGAGATGGAGGAGGAGGGTTCACTCTGTTTTGGCTCACCAGTAGTGACTGGCCCAGAGTGATCCCTTGGACTTTTTCTACAGAAAGTATAGGTATATTCTTGTTTGGAAAATGTATTTTCCAGTGAATGAATAGTGAGGTTCATTGTATAAATGAAAATCTTGACTTTTTGTATTCTTCATTATACTGTCATCTCTTTGTACCATGTACCAAGCTTGAGGGTGGGGGAAAGGAATGGAGGCAGGTCGGGGGAGGCAGTTAAGATGGTACCAGCAATCCAAAATCATGGTTAATAAAATTTTTTTAGAAGATTTTTATTTATTTATTTATTTAGAGGGGAAGGGAAGGAGAGAGGGAGAGAAACATCAATGTATGGTTGCCTTTTGTGCATCCCCTGCTGGGAACTGGCCTGCAGGGAATCGGTTTGCAACCCAGGAATGTGCCCTGACTGGGAATCAAACCTCAATCCTCCGGTTCGCAGGCCTGTGCTCAATCCACTGAGCTACACCAGCCAGAGCTGGTTAATAAAATTTAATTGTGCAAAAATGAATTTAATGTTAATAGATCTTGTTAAAATTATTTCTGATATTTAAAAATATATTTTCTGTATTCTAAACATTAGGAGAAACTTGTTTCTTTCAATATTTTTTTTCTACTTATACAGCAAGGGCTTATTGTAATAGCTCATAGATTTGTTAAGAGGGAGATAGGTGTGCTTATTATAAAAAAGCTTGCAAATGCTACATACTGATATTTATGTACATACATATGTGTTCCTGGGCATCACATCCTAGAAATTGGGAAACAGTTCGTCAGGTTGCTAAACTGGTCCTTACCAGTGTGCTTCAGTTGTTTGGGCATTGTCAGTTTGCTTCCTGGTCAGGGCATGAGCCTAGTTTGCTGGTTGGGTCCTCAGTCAGGATGCCTGTGAAAAAAGGCAACTGATTGGTGTTTCTCTGTCTTTCTCTTTCTCTTAAAAAAAAAAAAAAAAAAAAAAGTGAAGTTGCTTAATTGACTGCCTAAAAAGATAGACTGTTGGTAGCTTTCTAGGTGAGCCCCCCCCACCTTTATTTCCCAGTATTAGAACACTGCTTCTCTCTTCCTCTTTTTTCTTTCTTTCTTTCTCTCTTTCTTTCTTTCTCTCTCTCTCTTTCTTTCTCTCTCTCCTCCCCTCCCCCTCCCCCCTCCCCCTTCCTTTTCTTTCCTTTTCTTTTCTTTCCCTCCCTCCCTCCCTCCCTCCCTCCCTCCCTCCCTCCCTCCTCCCTCCCTCCCTCCCTTCCTTCCTTCCTTCCTTCCTTCCTTCCTTCCTTCCTTCCTTCCTTCCTTCCTTCCTTCCTTCCCCCTTCCCCCCCAGCTCCTGGCAAAGGAAAGGGATGCTGCACCAGAGAACTTCCTGTCTGGTTGTTGAGAGGCATTTGTGTATTGTACCTGACAAAATGAGATCTATTCTGCCTGTTACCTTACATGGAGATGTTTTTTCTTGTTTATGTTCTTGTCAGCTCTTTCACAAATATGCTTTAAAAAAATTACCATGATTACTTGTTAAACCAGTTAATCTCTCTACAGAATTAAGAGCTGCTTATAATATACTTTTTAAAAAATTTACTTCTAGTTTGGAATATAATGGGAAAAATTTGAATTTAGATTTTCTTGTCTCTTTTTTGAATTATAGTTGACACTCAATATTACTTTATATTACTCTATAGATATACAGCATAATGATTAGAATATTATATTGATGTAATCTATTTATTTATTTTTAAAGATTTTATTTATTTATCTTCAGAGAAGTTAAGGGAAGGAAAGAGAGGGAGAGAAACATCAGTGTGTGGTTGTCTCTTAAGTGCCCCCAACTGGGGATGTGGCCCAAAACCCAGGCATATGCCCTGAATTGGAATTGAACCAGTGACCCCTTGGTCTGGCACTCCATCCATTGACCCACACCAGCCAGGACTATTATATATATATATATATATATATATATATATATATATATATATATATATATATATATAACTTACGAAGTGATCCCCTTGATAAGTCTGGTACTCACCTGGTACCATATATAAGTTAATCCGGTGTTATCGACTATATTTCCTGTGCTGTACTCTACGTTCCTGTGACTGTTTTATAACTACCAATTTGCACTTCTTAGTCCCTTCACTTTTTCACCCATGCCCCCAGCCCCTCCTCCATCTGGCAGTTCTGTGTATCTGTGAGTCTATTTCTGGTATTTTGTTGTTGCTGTTCATATATATGTTGTTGAACATATATTTTGTTCTTTTGGTTCCATATATAACTAAAATCATACGGGTTTGTTTTTCTCTGATTTATTTCACTTAGCATAGTACTCTCTGGGTCATTTTATGTTGTTACAAATGGTAACATTTCATTCTTTAAAAAAAATTTTTTTAGATTTTTATTTATTTATCTTTAGAGGGGAAGGGAAGGAGAGAGGGAGAGAAATACCAATGTATGGTTGCCCCCTCGTGTGTCCCCTGCTGGCAACTGGCCCGCAACCCACACATGTGCCCTGACTGGCACATGAATCGAACCATGATCCTTTGGTTTACAGGCCCGTGCTCAATCCACCGAGCCACACCAGCCAGGGACATTTCATTCTTTTTTTATGATAGAGTAATATTCCCTTGTATATATGTACTGTTTTTTCTTTATACACTTATCTACTGGTGTCCACTTAGGTTGCTTTCATATCTTGGCTGTTGTTAATAATGATGCAGTGAAAATAAGGGTACATATATTCTTTTGACTTAGTATTTTGTATTTCTTTGAAAAAATACCCACAAATGGAATTGCCAGGTCATAAGGTAGTTCTTTTTTTTTTTGAAGTTTTGAGAAACCTCCACACTGCTTTCCAAAGTAGCTACACCAGTTTGCATTCCCATCAACTGTGCATGAGGGTTCTCTTTAATCATCCTGCCCAGTACATGTTGTTGGTTGATTTTTTGATGATAGCCATTTTGACAGGTGTGAAGTGATATCTCATTTTGCTTTTAATTTGCATTTCTCTGATGATTAGCGACATTGAGCATTTTTTTTAATATGTCTATTAGCCATTTGTATATCCTCTTTGGAGAAGTGTCTATTCAGGTCCTCTCACCTTTAAAAGTTTTAAAAAATTTATTATTATATTTTTTATCCTCACCCAGGGACTTGTCTATTGATTTTGTAGAGAGGGGAAGGAAGGGAGAGAAATAGTCATATGAGAGAGAAACATTATCAGTTGCTTCCTGCATGTGCCCTGACTGGAGACTGAACCTGTGACCCTTGGTCTCTCAGGATGACACTCCAACCAAATAAACCACACCAGCCAGGGCTTCTGTGCCCATTTTTAAAAAGATTTTATTTATTTACTTTTTTAGAGAGTGGGGAAAGGAGAGAAAGAGAGGGAGAGAAACATCAATGGTTGCCTCTTGCACACCCCATAACTGGGGGCCCGGCCCGCAACCCAGGCATGTGCCCCGACTGGGAATCAAACTGGCGACCCTTTCGTTTGCAGCCCGCGCTCAATCCACTGAGCAACACCAGCCAGGACCCTTTTTTAAATTGGATTGTTTGTTCATGTTAGGTTGTATGAGTTCTTTATGAATTTTCGCTATTGACCTCTTATCAGAGTATCATTGGCAAATATCTCCTCCCATTTGGTAGGTTGTCTTTTCATTTTGTGGATGGTTTCCTTTGCTGTGCAAAACCTTTTTAATTTGATGTAGTCCTATTTGTTTATTTTTCCTCTTGTTCCCGTTACCCAAGGAGTTATATCAGAAAAACATTAACACAAGCAATATCAGAGAGTTTATTGCCTATTTTTTTATTCAGGAGTTTTATTGTTTTGGATCCATTTTGAGTTTTTTTTTTAGATAGTGTAAGAAGGTGGTCTAGTTTTAGAATTTAGATTTTCTATAGAGTTAATAATTAGAACTACATCCTTGCTTCTTAGTGTTATTTTAACTTGACAATTACTAGAAAAATAAAAGTATGCTTATATAATTTTGAGGTATAGATCCAAATAGGAAAAATTGGAAAACCCTTAGTCTGTAAAAATGATGTATTGATTTGTAATTATACCATTTATTTATCTACAGGTAGGCGAAAACCAAGAGTACATCGACCTCGTTCTCCAATATTGGAAGAAAAAGATATCCCACCCCTTGAATTTCCCAAGTCCTCTGAGGATTTAATGGTGCCTAATGAGCATATAATGAATGTTATTGCCATTTATGAGGTACTGCGGAACTTTGGCACTGTTTTAAGGTTATCTCCTTTTCGCTTTGAGGACTTCTGTGCAGCTTTGGTGAGTCAAGAGCAGTGTACACTTATGGCGGAGATGCACGTTGTGCTTTTGAAAGCAGTTTTGCGTGAAGAAGACACTTCCAATACTACCTTTGGACCTGCTGATCTGAAAGATAGCGTTAACTCCACGCTGTATTTCATAGATGGAATGACGTGGCCGGAGGTGCTGCGGGTGTACTGTGAGAGTGATAAGGAGTACCATCATGTGCTTCCTTACCAAGAAGCAGAGGACTATCCTTATGGACCAGTAGAGAACAAAATCAAAGTTCTGCAGTTCTTAGTGGATCAGTTTCTTACCACAAATATTGCTCGTGAGGAACTGATGTCTGAAGGGGTGATCCAATATGATGACCATTGTAGGGTTTGTCACAAACTTGGGGATTTGCTTTGCTGTGAGACATGTTCAGCGGTGTACCATTTGGAATGTGTGAAACCACCTTTGGAGGAGGTGCCAGAGGATGAATGGCAGTGTGAAGTCTGCGTAGCACATAAGGTGCCTGGTGTGACTGACTGTGTTGCTGAAATCCAAAAAAACAAACCGTATATTCGACATGAACCTATTGGATATGACAGAAGTCGGAGAAAATACTGGTTCCTAAACCGGAGGCTCATAATGTAAGTAAATCTGGTTTTGATTTTTGTATGATTTAAAATTAAGGCAGTTTCCTCCTGGTGTAGCAGAACTATGCTGCTGATCTAAATCTTTGTGATTTAATAATCAGTTGTGTAGTTAAATAATCTCTCATTTGAAGAAATATTTACATTAGTACAGTTTTTAAAATTGCAGTGAAAGAAGAGTATATTATAAAAAAGCAAAATATACATTATTTTCAATGCCTAGGATGGGAAGTAGAAGGTTCTTAGGCAGAATGCCTCTGTGGGCCCTTCCCCAGTTATGTTCCCTCAGCCCACCCTGAAGTAATCTTCACCCTCATTAGGATTTTCTTGCTCCTCTTTTTAGTTTTACTATGTCTGTATGTAAATGGAACAGCAAGAACAAACCAACTGTTCTTAAGGAAGCTGTCTTAAGGAAAGATTAGTTCTGCCATTAGTGGTTGCAGCCTCCCAGGAGGTAAGCCCAGTAGGCTCAGGGTCCCAGTCTGGCTTCTCCTTTTCTGAGGGTTCTTAAGAGGGTCTTCTAGGCAGGTCAGTGGGAAGGTCAGGCAGCTGTCTGGGAAAGAGGAGGATTCACCTCAGTCCAGATGTTGGGCAGGGTTGTAGTGTGTGTGGACTTGGTTTTGGACATCCTGTGTTAATTTGGTCAGAGGGAGTGAGCTACTTTGTGTTGTCAGCTTCTAACAGGGATGTCTAGTCTTTTGATGTCTCTGGGCCACACTGGAAGAAGAAGAGTTGTGTTGGGCCACACATTAAATACACAAACACTAAGGAAAACTGATGAGCAAAAAAAAGGTTTTAAGTAAATTTACAGTTTTGTGTTGGGCCTCATTCATAGCCATCCTGGGTGGCATGCTGCCCACAGGCCCCCTGTTAGACACCCCTGGAAATTTTTAAAGCCTTCCTCCAGTTCTCAGAATTAGGTCAAATTAGAAAATATGCGGTGGGATGAAAATCTGTGGCAGGGCATGAAGAGAGCAGGAACTTCATCTGTATGTGGTCAGGCCAAGCCAGGTAGAGATAAGTATCTTAGCCCTGCTCACCCTTAGTTTATATAAACATGGTACAGAGAAAGCAGAGATCTTCAGAATTTTTTGCAGTTGTCTTATTGCTGCACCGCTGCTGAGAAATTTGAATCTACTCATTGATTGTTTGTAGGACCAGTTTGGACTTAATCTGGAGTCTGTCCTAATGCAGTGGGTATTTAGTAGCCACTTTCAATCTGGTAGTTCTAAGTCCTTTGATGTTTGTTTTGGTCTCTTCCATCCTCAGATATCTATTAATCCTTAATTTTTTGCTCCTGATTAATACTCTGGGATTATATCAATGTTTGGAAGCTCTGAGCAAGTGGGTAGGCCTTATCAATTTTGAGCTTTACCGTTGGGTTATTTTCTTATTCTATTTTATTGGGAATCCCTGGTGTCACTCTTTTTAGTCCTTCTTCTCGAGCTGGTCAGATGGCTCAGAGAGATCCTTTCTGGTGTTCCAATCGGAGCACGAGGATCTGGCTGGCTGAGTGGTGGAAGTGGGCTTTACTTCACATGCATACAACATCTACGGTGTGTATAGCCACTCAGTGCCCTTGATTTTCTGTGCAGTCCCCTTGTTCCCACCTGAGCCTTGTGTCCCCTGGTCCAGAGAACTTGTTTTACCATCTTTAGTAGACACTAAACCTCTGGTGGACTGAAGAGGATAGGTGGTTTAAGGATCTAGTCCTTAAACAGCATTCAAGCAGTTCTCTGCTGTATATACCTCCCTCCTTATTTTCAGTGTCTTTTAAAAAATATTTTATTTATTTTAAAGATAAGGGAAGGGAGGAAAAAGAGGGAGAGAAACATTGATGCAAGAAAGAAACATCAATCTGCTTCCTCTTACATGCCCCGCCACCCCCTGAGCTGGGGGCCTGGCCCACAACCCAGGCATATGCCTTGGGCTTTCTTGGATCTGCTAAGGACTGTCATCTCTTGTCCATTTGCTTTTCTGCTTCCAAAATTCTTTTTGTTGTCTTTCCCATTTTCTCTATCACTGTGAATTTTGTCTTTATTTATTTCACAGTTTAAGAGGGCTTCAGGAGGGAGCAAAATGAGATATGTAGATTCAATCTATATTCCCTTCACCCAGAAACTGATACGAGAAACAGTATGTAAAGTTTTCTTTTTTAAGATTTTATTTATTTTTATAGAGAGAGGAAGGGAAGGAGAGAGGGAAAGAAACATCAGTATGTGGTTGCCTCTCACATGCCCCAAACTGGGGAACTGGCCTGCAACCCAGGCATGTGCCCTGACTGGGAATCGAACCAGAGACCCTTTGGTTCACAGGCCCTTGCTCAATTCACCAAGCTACACCAGCCAGGACTGTAAAGTTTTATATAGAGTTTTTGGTTTTTTTTTAATAAATTTTTTTATTTAGTTATTTTTCAAGTACAGTTTTTTGTCTGTTTCTCCCATCCCAGCCCCCCTGCCCCGTCTCCCCACCTCCCTCCCATTTCCTCCAAACCCCTCCCCCCCCCCCAGTCCTCATTCCTATGTCTTTCATACTTGTTCCTCAAAATCTCTCCCCATTTTTCACCCTTAAATTCCCTTCCCTCTCCCCTCTGGTCTCTGCCCACTTGTTCTCTATTTCAGTGTCTTTGTTTTTATTCTGTTTCGAGTTGGTTTTGATCAGTTATTTTTAGAAATTTGTATAAATTTTTTTTCCTGACCCTAACCTCCCAAGTATCTGGTCAAGGTGTTTATTGTGTGCCATGCCCCCCCCCCCCTTTTCTTTGTCATCTTGTTACGGAAGTGGTAGCATGGAAACTTTTTAGGTCATTAACAAATAATGTGATAACTGTAACCACATTTTGGGTTGAAGTTTAATGCCGTATCTCATTTTAAGTGAAAAGTTAGTGACACTGTCTTTATAAGCAGACAGCAGTTAGTAGGCCATGTTTACCAAGTCTCAACTGTCTTCCCCCAAAGGACTCAGAGTCCTTAGGATTGCTGTGAACAAATTAGGAAGTAAGTGAAATTTATTCTGTGCTCCTCTTCTCCCATTCCTATGTTTTTCTCTTCTGCCCTCCTTTCTTCACCCTTTGGATGTTCATGCTCACTGCCTGTTACTTCCTTTCCTGTGTTCCACTTTGGGGCCAGAGAGAGGCCAAAGGAGCTAGGTCCTCAAATGGGTAGGTGTTGACATTTGCAAGGCTTATTACACAATAATCAGAGGCCTAGGCCTTGGTTTTAAGATTCTAGACTAAGGTGTAATTAGAGATGGGCTAGGATAACAGTAGGCAACAGCGACATTATTGAGCATTTATTATGTGCCTGAGAGTCTTATAAGCATTTTATATATGTTTTTCTTATTTTTTTTAAAGATTTTATTTATTTTTAGAAAGGGGAAGGGAGGGAGAAAGAGGGAGAGAAACATCATTGTGTGGTTGCACATCACGTACCCTACTGGGGACCTGGCCCACAACCCAGGCAAATGCCCTACACTGAGAATCAAACTGGCGACCCTTTGGTTTGCAGGCTTACACTCAATCCACTGAGCCACACCAGCTAGGGCTGCATTTTATATATATATTTTTTTCATTAATGCTTACAAGAACCCAATAATGTACGCGCTGTTTTGTCTGCAGATGAAGAGACTGAAGCTCAGAAAAGTTAAGTAACTTGCCCCAGGACTTGACTGTTAGAAAGTGAGAACTGGATTTTTTTTTCAGAACCCGTTTATGAAAATATTTTCCGTAACTAATTTTATTCTGTAGCATAGTTTCCAAGCCATCATCTTCAGAAGTCTGCAACTTGCTTTGATTTAGCTGTTAAAATCTGCTTATAACTGGGGAGAGGAAGATAGTGTAATGATTTTTGCTATACCTGGGCTTGATATTTCTAAGATCTTAAAAAAATTGAGACTAAGGCATTTTTAGAAAATAAATTAAGTGTCACTCCAAAATGTTTTGTTTCCTAATATCCCTGTACCAGTATATAAAACAATACTCAGGCAAGCAGGAGTTTTTTTTTTAATGTAGTTAAATAAGTACAAACTTTTGAAATTACATGAATTAGAGGACTTAAGCCATTATCTTTGGCCCTGGCTGGTGTAGCTCAGTGGATTGAGCGTAGGCCTGCGAACCAAAGCGTCGCCAGTTTGATTCTAGTTGCAGGCCTGGTCCCTAACTGGGGGCAACCACACATTGATGTTTCTCTTCCTCTCTTTCTCCTTCCCTTCCTCTCTCTCTAAAAAATAAATAAATACAATCTTTAAAAAATTATATGAAACTAACTTTGGAAACATGTCAAATAAGTAAAACTTCCATATTTTTATGTCTAGGTCATAAAAATAATGTTTTTGAAACATTATTTGAAATAGAAGACACTGTCTTTGAATCCATCTACCTATGGATGGAGTCGTGCTACAGTATTGATGAAATGAAATAATCTGCTTTTCTAAATTGAACAGTAAAATTCTTTGTTACATGTTTGACAATAAAACTATTCTCTTAAATTTATTTGTTTTTGAAAGATGTAATTATAGTCCCTCAAATGACTTTTGTAAATGCATAGTAAAATACACTAAATTTAATGAAGATTTCAGACAAATAAGGATATGTTTGTTTATGCTTTGACATTTGACTCTTTCTAAAGTAAAATACGAAACTTTAAATATCATTGTTAGTGATAATTAAGTATTCTTTGTCAATAATTTGAGTAAATCTGAAAGATTATCTTTCTAAAGTTAGATAAGACCATTTCAGTTTAAGTGCCCCCTTGTGGTAGATAATATGTATACTCCTTGTGAAAGTTTAGAAGCCATGTATGTACCCTGCTTAGTTCACAGTATGTGAACATTTGGTATATACATTCCCTGAAAGCCCGTAAGTTGAAAACGATGAGTGATGTTCAAGGAAGGCATGCCTAAAACAAAGCCTGGGGCAGCGAACAATTTTTAATTATATTGCTAGTAGTTTGTAGAAATTTATTCCATTATTTTTGTTTGTTTAATACTCATAAAAAATT